AGTACACAGCTGTTATACTGCAGTTTATTACCTTCAAAAAGAGCCTGAAGACAAAAAGGCACCTCAGGACTTAAATGGTCCATTGATGTTCTGTTGCAAACTTTATTTAAACAGCCAGTTTGGCTAAGATGGCCTAAACAGACAGGGAATAAATTGGAAAGATTAAGTGTATGACAACGACAAAAACAAAATTCCATCCCAGATCGTGGCAAGAGCTCCGAGCAGCATTTCTGCCTTACATGGGAGTGTTTTAATTGTGCAGCTGGAAATTAAAATTCTATAAACTGGCATTTTTATTAGAACAGCAGCCCTTTATCACATTTGGGCACTGTTTATCAAAGAGCTTACCATATGACCGAGCCAGCAAAAGCATAGGAAAAGCAGAAAACTGAAGCACAGAGCAAGTCACTTGCCTAACAGTGCAGGCAATCCTGTGGCAGGGTGAAGAACTGAACGTAAGCTTCCTTACATATCAGCGTATTGCCTAAGCTAAGACGACAATTAACACTTGTGCGAAACTACTTCCCCAAGCACTATGCGGACAACAGCTGTCACAGGCCATATCAAAAATTGTATGAACGCATACAACCTTTTAATTAACCTGCCAGAAAGCTAACGCTGACTAAGAAGCAGCCAACGCCCAGCCTGGATCTGCTCCAGCCCTCCTAGCTGTCAATTCTAGTCATTTAGAGTCTTTGTTTGAGGTCCCCCATGAGGTGACCTTTACAAAATTCAGCTCTCCTGAAGATCAGGAAATTCAGTTACCCGCAATATCATTACTTGGAACAGCTCTTAAAGCACAATGAAAAAAAAAATTATTATAAACAAATGTCTTCCAGTCAAGTTCAGTAAAAGACAGTAATACCTTAATTTTCTGGTGAATATGCCTCAGTGAATCCGCTGTACCCATGTCCATGTTGTCACTGATGCACACAAAATCCAGCTTCATTTTTGTGTCCAAGTTTAACATCTTTTGGATTTCTTTCCTTGTAATCACAATGACCTCTAGGACAGAGGAAAGCGGGATGAGATCAAGCAAAAAAAAAAAATCATCACAAATAGGATACACTCACTTTTTATTTACAAAGCCTGACAGAACTGTCAAAAGGCTTGAGTAACATAATTGGGTTCTCCAATGAACCAAGCTCTTTTGGCAATAGTAAGTTTTGCAGAAGAGAATTAAACTCTGAATGAATATGAAAACAATCTCTCCTGCTTTGTGTGGGTGGAGGGTTGTTACTGAAAGGGACACATGCACATGAGTGGCACAAGTATAGCAAGACAGAACAGAAACATCTTCTGTCATTAGTGAGTGCCTTCAAACCATAAATCCTCAAACAGTCCAATGAGACCCTGCATTAACGTCACCAACACTTTAGAGCTTTGTCTTTTGCCCTCCCTGATCCTATATAATCCTCTGTAGACAACACCACCAACCACAGTAATACAATAAAATCGTTAAACTACTTCCCAGCACCACCTTGGCAAGGAATTGGAAGTAATACGTGAGCAACAAACTCATTCCATCTATAAAAGAATAAAGGTAAATACACATTTGAAGGATATCGACAGTGGCATGAAAGCGTATTTTTCAAAACGAAGAATGTGAGAACAGAAGCTCTGCAAAGAAAAGACTGAGAAAACAAACCAGCAAGAAACCTTTTCCCCTGGCCTCAAGAACTGGAAGGAAAAGCAAGAGTCAAACCCTCAAATTAAAATATCCCACTCCTCAAAAAAACCCCAACATTGTAACATCATATTCCATATGGAATTTTAATAGGGAAGTATGGGAGATAACATAGTCCTCAGCCTAGGAAGCTTCTGTGGGCAAGATCAAAACACACTAAGAATAAATCTGTATCGTTCAAAACTGAACTCATCCTGAATCTGTTAACAGAAGAGAGGAAGGAACTGTAAACATGAGAATCGTGTGGCAGTTTGGTACCAGAGACACAGGAGGGCTCCCCTCCCACTCCCATACCAGATGCCAACTTGGATTCAAAACAGGCTGAAGAACCTAGAGAAAGGGATTGAAAGCACACCTTGAATTGGGGAAAGAATTAACCGATGGAGAAGAAACTGGTGTCAGGTGGAAATTATAAGCCGACAGTTCAGCATAAATCTGGTGAGCTGGACAAAGGTCTCCTAATATTTATTAGGAGAGAGGAAGCACTTGCATTTAGGACAGAAGGGACGCAGTGAATCAGACTCTGGAACGCCTACTTACTAATATAAGCAAGTATGAGGAACTAAAGCCTCCTGTAATACTTAGAATTACGAACCAGGGAGAGAATTCATGCCACTGAGTATTAACACAGCTTGGTCAGGGGGCAGAAGCAAGAGAGGAGCAGGAAGGTGGCAGCTTGCTTACTGAAGCTGCTTGTATAACCCTGCATGTCCAAATTTTTGTAGGGGATAGATAAGCTGAAGAGCTACGTGTGAGAAAGGAGAAAGATCTGACCATAACACCACCTACTAGTGGTCAAGAGCATCAAGTGGAAATGGTTATTTCTGAATAGTTATAGAGCCACACAGAGCACAAGACTGGTTACAGAAAAGCTTTTAGCTACCGATATGCCCATGTCACTGGATAAAAGTATGATCCTAGCAAAAAAAGAGACAGAACAGCCAAAAAAAGTGGACATTCAGAAAGCAAACTCAACAAACAATAGGCAAAAAGCAATCCCAAGGGAAAAAAGTTCTTAAGGATTTCTTAAGGATTTCTTAAGGATTTCTTAAGGATTTCTTAAGGATTTCTTAAAGAAACAAAATCAAGACAAAGTCTTAAGTTTGTTCTTTCTTTTGTTCCTTCACGCTGAAACTGTAAGAGACTGACATGAATAACCATAAGCTGATCTTTACATCTTCACAGACAAAAGAAGCAGCCAGGAAAACCGCCACGTTCTTGGGATGGAGTACAGAATAATCACACAGTCATTCAGGAGAAGCAAAAACAGAAAGCAGAAATGCAAAAGAAAATTACAAACATGAAAAAACAGAGCAATGAAAGGTGTGAGGAAGACATTTTATAAGTAACAGGGGGAACACCACAGAAAGATTTGGTCCACCACTCAAAAAGTAAACAAAAACCTAAACCCAGAAAATACTAAATAACCTCACTATGTACGAAATACCTTTTAGCCCTCCCATGAAACAAGGCCCACAGGTGAGCATTCCAAGGCCGCCACTTCCCCCTGCCCCGTTCTGTCCAAAACCTAGCACTTGGTTCTGTGCTGCAACAACAAGGACTAAATGCCTCAGACAGAACAAGTAACCCTGAACTTCAGGCCAGACTGAAACAACAAACCAAACGATATCCCAAGAGAGCTGACACACTTCTCATGCCACTCTCGTTAATGATTCAGAGAAAGAAATAAGTGAGAGACTCCCAGTTAACAACACTGGTAAAGACACCAACGCTGGGAAAAGCATATAGATGGAAAAAGCCTTCATGAGGGGAGAAGAGGGGGAAGAGGGCGCAGGCACAGGAGGTGCAGCCTACAGTTAAGAAGAGGATGTGACACGGGCCAACAGCAGAGCTCCGATGCAGAAAAGAGAGCTCCTGCTAAAGCACCCATCCTGATCAAGAGAGCATCTATGATAAGACGTTAGAACAACGAGGGGACACACACACGACACAAACAGGAGTGGCAGAGGTGGCCGCGGGAAGCCTGAAGAGGCCAGGGTAAGCACGTCGTCTCCACCCCCACCTCAAGCCACCGTCGTGCCTCACCTTCGAAGCCGGCGCGCTCCAGGAGGTTCAGCGGGTACCAGAGCAGGGGCCGGTTGCCCACCGGCAGCAGCGGCTTTGGGATGCTGGAGGTCAGGTCCGTCATACGGGAACCGCCCCCCGCCGCCATCACCACGGCCTGGAACTCCATGCTGCAGAGAGAGCACAGGGGCAAGGCCTCACTCAACCACGGCAGAACCGAGCAGGCCCGGGCCGGGTCAGGCCGAGCCGAGCCGGGCCGGGCTAAGACCGGTTCGCTTCAGCCTGGCCCAACTTTAGCCGCCAGCGCTTCTCAAAGGCGTGAGTCGGCTCCCCGCGCCCCTCCCAGCTCACCACGGCCTGGAACTCCATGCTGCAGAGAGAGCACAGGGGCAAGGCCTCACTCAACCACGGCAGAACCGAGCAGGCCCGGGCCGGGTCAGGCCGAGCCGAGCCGGGCCGGGCTAAGACCGGTTCGCTTCAGCCTGGCCCAACTTTAGCCGCCAGCGCTTCTCAAAGGCGTGAGTCGGCTCCCCGCGCCCCTCCCAGCCCCCGCGGAGGCGCCGGGCCTCCCCGCGCCTCGCCGTTACCTGCGCTCTGGCGGGCGCCCGCCCCCCGCCCCCCCCTCACACGGCCAGA